AGGGCTCCCCACCCTGTGGTCTCCTCCTACCCCCCACAGTTACTGCAGGGAAGAAACATTATCCAGTCCAGGGACAGAGGGTGAACCATCCCTTGGGGACACAAGTGAGTGTTTCTCTTTCTTTTCAGGTATTGGAGTGTATCATTCAGCCCTTCTTCATTTCCAGAGGGACCAGGAGCTTCCCTCCAGGGGTACAGCTGTGCATTAACAGCTTTTCACTCCTGAACATGAAGGCGATGTCTAACTCAATGTGGATTTTCACAGCGAAAGGATGACTGGGAGAAAACTAGGGAGAAACCATCTGAAATCTTTTGGGAGAGGGGCAGTTTGAAACACAAGAATGCCCTTGTGCTCCCTGCCTGGCCCAGAGCCAGGGTTCCTTGCTCCAGTGGTTCCCGGTGCTGGAGGAGACACGGACACAGTCACATCAAGACACCCACTTCTGGGGCCCAGACAGCTGTTACTGCCAGGATGAAGCCCCCCCTGTGCTACCAAATCTCTCTGAGGAAGCAGGACACACACAGGTTTTGTAAACAGTGAAACCAGGTACAAAAGAAGAAGAATGGCACCCCCTCACCCCACCCCAAACATTGCTGATTCAGACAGAGCCTGAGTTTTGCTATTGCTCAGAAAAAGGCACCACAAAATACTATTTTCTGCCTTTTTTAATCTGGTCCCTTGAACATAAAGGTGGTCTAATTCTGCCTAGCCCAGTGTTTTTTTGGGGGGAGGAAGGGGGCTAGTGGAGTGGTGATGCATGATCTGCCCTTGCACCTTACCAGGTAGCAGAAAGGTTCTCAGCTGGGTGTATCTTGAAACACCCAATGCCACAGACCCAGCAGGAGGTAAATGCAGTTTGTTTGACCATGCAGTAAGCAAATAGTAGGTTTGGAGGCTCAAGATGGGGTCAGGAGCTGATGCCAGCTGTGTTCCCCCCCGTGCAAACCTCTCCAACTAGAGCTCAGCAATGGGCAGCTCCTGATGCAGATGCGGAGGAAGAGAGATGGCATAGGAAGGTCTTTTCCTTCCCTGTCCCTGCCTGGAAAGCTGCTCCTCAGAGGTACAAGCCAGCAGATTAGAGGCAGGTGAGCCACCTCTGAGTCGATGCTCACACCTATGCTCAGAGGGCATTTAGGCACGTGTAGACAAGACGTGACTAGCCCGCTTCTGTTTTTCATCTTTTATGGCTGCTTGAGAGGCCTGAATGGCCCTGGCTTTGCATTTATGTCCTCTGCATGGCTGAGCAAACAAGCAATGCCTTGTCTCCAGCGGACTTCTCCACCCTTTGCTGGCTGCCTTTCAGTTATCTGCTGAAGTGTGTTGCAGGCAAATATTTGCTCTGTGGTCTCAGACGCTACCTCACTCCTGTTTGCCCAGGTTCTCACTTCAGTGCCTTGAACGCTGTGCTCTCTCCACCCACACCCAGGGGTGTTCAAATAGATACCAAGTCACAAGAGCATGGGCTTTGTGCACACTGCTCTCCTGCATGCCTTCCTTCCCTGGGGCTGGCAAATGGGGAGGAAGAAGAGACAACACAGGGACAGAGATGCCCAGGCTGTCAAACCCACCTGGACTCCTTGCAACAAGCATGTCCTTGCTGGGGAGTATGCCAGCCATCCCCAGCATAGCAGTAAACACCAGGAGGTGTAGAGAAGGGGCAGACACCAGGCCTGCTTTCTGTGGAACTTTGTGTAAGTGCTAACCCCTGTGTCTCAGTTTGCTGGAACTCCGGTCTGCTGCAAGCCCAGACAAGTGGAGGCTTGGGGTTGCACCTTTTTCACCCGCCTGCATGTGTCTTGCATGCAGAGATGTCACTTGGAAGCGCTGCATTTAATTATGTATGCAGTTTTATTCCGTTGGGCTGTGCTCCTGTGAGGAGATGCAAGCTAGATAAAATTATTAGTTGTGGACCATAAGGACTGCTGTGCCTGAAACAGCCTGGAAGGCTGTCTGGGTCTCCTTGTCGCAGCAAAATTGTCCAATTAAGGCAGCTGCATGTCCATCCTTCCCAGGCGTCTCTCAGTGGGGTGCTCAGTTTGGCTGGGTACCCCATACTCCCCTCAGAAGAGCCCTGACGTAGTGCTGAAGGAGCAAGAGGAAAATTAAGTTCCTTGTTCTCTTTTCTTTTTTTTTTTTCCCCTCTCCTGAGCTCACAGCCTCAGAAGCTCAGACAGTGCAGCCAGACCCTTCCTGTTACACGGCAGCGGGGCAAATAGCCCTGAAGTGCTCCTTATGTGCCCTGATGGCAAAGATGACCCTGATGCACCCAGGGAAGTTTAGGCAGGACTAACACCAGTGCTAATGCAGACCCTGAGGACTGTCAGAGTGGAGCAGCAGCTTTGCACAAGGCCTCACATGGTTTTAATTTGGCAGGTACCAGGGGAGAGCCGCACACCGAAAGGTCAGGTTCCAGCGGTTGTAACAGTTCCCAGCCAGATGGACATGCTCCGCTGCAGGATGCCTGCTCTGGGGAGGTGGTGCGGCTGCTGCAGTGGCATGAAGCAGTAAGAAGCAGTACGAAGGGGTAAATATGATGCACCAGCTCAGCCGCCAGCACCACGGCACCCAGCAGTAACAGCCACATATCTGTCTGAGAAGGAGGGACTCACCTTCCCGCAGCTTCTTGCAAAACTGGTGTGTGTAGCGAGGAATCAAAATGTGTGGTTTTAATAAAGCAATGCCAGCACACAGTTTGACATGTAGCAAATTCTTCCCTTCAAGCAATTTCGCTTTCTAGCCCAGCATACTCACTTCACATAAAGGCAATGGAGGACACTAGAAAGTCTCTCTTGGTTTTGGCTGTCGAAAGGAAAGTAACGATGATAATTTTGAAAGTGGAAGGGAAAGGGAGCGGGGGCAGGAGGCAACTATACATCGATCCCAGCTGCATGGCACAAGGCGGACACTCCTCTGGGCCACACTTTGCAAATCTGTCATTTCCTGAAAACGACAATGAGTCACATTTGCCCCATGTCTCATTTAAAGAAACTGAAAGGATTAGCTGGTAAGGCATTGGGAAAGGCTTGTCATGAGTCACGCTGCCAGAGCCATAGCTACGCAGGCACTGGAAAGCCCACATGGCTGTTGCCAAACAGCGGGCCATGGTCGGTGATCAGTGGGACTCCAGCACCTTCAGAAAGGCATGGGGTGATCCGAGGGGGATATTGAGGGTTGAAGATATTTGGTGATTTAATCAGATGTCCAGTCATTTGCACACCTGGGTTTTGGCTCAGGTCTGTCTTATCCACAGTCTCAGGGGGTCTGGAAACAGACTTCAGAATAGTCAGTAAGAATGCATTTTCTTCACCACCCACTAAAAATAGCTGCACTGTGAAAGAGAGAAATTATAGGTGAAGAGGGAGAGTTGTTAATGTCCTGAGATCAACCCAGCTGGCCAGCACCTGAAATTGAATCTCCATCTCTCCTCAAAAGACTACAGTGAGGAAAGAAACTGCAGTACACACACCACCACCCGACCCCCAGTCAACTCATACTTAATCTCCAACTGCAAATGCTGGAGAGCCTTGCCCCATGGCAAAACAGCAGAGGTAATCTGGCACCTCTGTTGTGCTTTCTTAATTACCTTAAAGTTGCTGATTTTTGAAGTATGTTTTGGGGAATAGCTACAAGTGTCCCCGTGCTGATGTTTTACCCCAAAATATTTACAATAGTCTCAATTTTGTGTAATTTTCTCTCTGGGATTTTCCTTCATTTTCTCCCCCACTTAAGCACACTAAACATGAACCCCAAAGAGAAGTGAGATCGGAGAGCTCCTTGGAGCTGGGGGGCAAATCCACAAAGCCCACCCGGTTTTTAAGGTCATGTTCTCGCTGTGGCTTTACCCTGGTCCTGCCCAGTACAGGACAGCAAGGCCGTGCTTACAGCACCCATGTGTTAGGAAGTGCCTCTCCTCTACAGCTCCGGCTGTCGTTCAGTTTACCCGTTCATTGGACTGAGATTTTCCTCTTTTGTACATCGACGGATGAAACCGTGAGGGAAACAGTACTGCCGGTATGCACTCTCTGTCCTTCTCTCTTCAGGAGGGTGTATTCAGTGAGCTGCAGAGCAGAGAAGTACCCCCCCACACCTGGGTGAGGAACGCAAGGAGAGGAGGGGAGCTGGGGAGGCTGCCAGCTGCAGCCAGAGGGAGCAGATGGAGACGCAGCGTTAGGCTTAGAGAAAAGCGGTGAGTGGGAGGCACCGAAGGAGAGCTCAGGCGTAGAGAAAGGATGGGAACAGGGTGGGGAGGAAGGCAAAGAGTTTCTCTTTGCAACCGTGTATAAGCATCAGGACTTGCAGAGCATCAGGAGGTCCAGCTGTTTGCTGAGGAATAGGGTAATGCAGGGGCACAGCTATTCCCCTGTAGAGCACAGGCCACAGGTAGCTGGAAACCTCCTTCTGGGGTAATATTTGCTTAAGGCCTCTCACTGAGGCTGCTAAGCAGATGCAATGGTTGCAGCTAGCAACCCATTTCATATTCCTTTCAGTTGGGCCCACAGCTCAGGGCCATGGATGACTGAGTTGTTTGCTGTCCTGCCTGCCAGTCAGCAGGAGCAGCAAGCTCCCTATGGAAACTGCAGAGAGACTGCTCTACCAGGTCCAAAGGAAAACTTTGCTTGATTAAAGAAAGAAAAACAACCAATAAGCTGAGCAAAGGGTGGACATTTAATCCCAGGCTTATTTAGCTTAGGTAGCGCAGTGTTCAGAGCTGCCGTATTGTGGGTCATGTGGCTCTGTGGCTACACGTGCACAGGAGCTGCCGGGTCCGAGCAGAGGAGTCCATTTAACACAACAGTATGGCTTGGAAAGCAGCTGACTTCAGGTGCTTCCACAATAAAAGCTGCAAGGAGATGGTTAGAAATTATGTGATCTGGCTGCCCTATTTGTCTCCTCCTGCACCTCCTGGTGCAGATTACTTTATTCCTGAAGAATGAGCTTTGAGATACCCTCCAAAACTCAATCATTAGGTTGCATTGCCCTTAGCAGTCAAATCATGGGACATGACGTATCCAGGGAGCCTTTGCAACTTCGACTCTCAGGAATCAGGCCTGCAGCCCTGCCTGACTTGCAGACTGCAGGCCTACGGTAGGGAACAGCCTCCATCCACCCAAACACCCCTCTGAACTGATGCACCCATCGGTTACAGTCGTCGCCTCCCCACCTCCCCTGTGGCAGGGTCTTTCTGGTACTGACATGTGAGAGCTGCAGCACGAATGATGAAGGCACGAATTTCAGATTCGGCAGCATGGCTCAGATGATGAGGCATCTGCCCAAATGTGCTGAAATCTTGTCATTTATACTTCCTGACCTTATTTACAGTTGGTGGGGGGAAACCCAACACAACTTGTCTGTCATATCTTGCACGTTGCTATGTCACACTAGAGAAAGGGAAAACTTTTTAAAATTACTTTAATGCAGCCAGCTGCACATGAAACAGAAAGTAACCAGCCCACATCAGGACAAGTGAGAAAGGTTCATGGCTTTTGTGTGTCACCTGCTGTTTGACTTCTGGCAACTGATGCAATTGCCAGATCCACCTGAAGGGCGTATTCTGGAACCTGAGTCATGCAGGCTGAAGGAAAAGAAATAGTAGGCTGCAAGAGCACCATTGGGCCTTTGCCTCACTTAGTCCAGAAGACAGGCAGTGACCAGGAATAAGTGATCACCTGTTGAATTACTACCTTCGGACACCCGTTTTGGAAGCTGTGCAAGGGCCATGTCTGTTCCACTCTTGCAAGGACCCCAGAGGCAGAGAGGGAGGAGAAAGGCACTGTCGTGGTTTAACCCCAGCCAGCAACTAAGCACCACACAGCC